GTTACATGTAGCGAAAGAGATTGTTAGTCTATGTCATTTTTTAACCCACAACAATCCCTATAATTACAGTCTGAAATAGGTCACCTAACCCTTTAAATAGCATAGCATGTGTTAGATGTGAGAGATGCAGGAAACAAAGTACTATCACCCCAGTGCTCCAACCTACAGTCTTTTCTATTGTTGGCATTTCATTCTTCCAAATTCACTCACTACATCCCTTCTCTTCCTTGCCTTTTCTGGGTTCTTGTGGAATTTTTTATATTCCTGGGATTTATTTTTGGTTCAGAGAAACGACTTAACGGCTTTGAGATTCAGGATCCTAATGTATAACATCGGGGGAAATGTATAACTTTGAAAACTAAGAGAGGGGACTGGCAGGTGGCATGGTGGTTAAGGTGATGGACTCCCACATGGTCAACCATGGTTTGAGTGCTTGCTTTCTCACTTTCCCTTTCTCTCTCTCTATGTCTTTTTCTGGGCAAATTAAAAAATAATAGTAATAAATAAAATTAAATAAATAATTCTTTTTTTTAAAAAAAAAAAAAGAAAGAAAGTCAAGGAAAACATAAAACAAGGAGGGGACCAGCAGGTGGCGTGGTGGTTAAGGGGCTGGACACTCCCACATGGCCAACCACGGTTTGAGTCCTGGACCTAGTGGTTTCCTTTCTCACTTTCCCTCTCTCTCTCTGTGTCTTGCGCTGGTCAAATTAGAAAAAAAAATATATAATAAATGAATGAATAAAATTAAATAAAAAAAACTATAAAACAAGGAGAAACAGGCCAGCTGGTGGCATGGTGGTTGATTGCACAGTTCATATCCTAGACCCAGCAGCTTGAAAAAACATACTGTGTGCATGCACAAAATCTCAAAAAGAGAAATGGAGGGGAAGGAATTGCATCATGATCATCCCCCATGAGGGGATACTTTCTCATTTTTCCTCTCTCTCTCTCTCTGGTGAGTGCACATACCCTCTAGCAAAATTTTTTAAAAAGTAAATATTAATAATAAAAAAAGAAAAAGGATTTCTACTTCATGAACAGTTGTGAAAAAAGGGTAGTCAGCAGAACAATTAAATAAATGTCAATTTTTTTCTAACCCTGAATTCCCTCTCTTCTAGAGTGCTATCATCGCTTATAGCCATAAAAGAAAATATACTGATTCTTCAAGCTTTTTTGTCTTCCTACGTCCTTGAGTGTCTACAGTATTCATGACAATTTTACAGAAATAGACACTTAGACAATGACTTTCTTTCAGTCTACAATTACAGCTTTTTCCCACCTAAAATTTCTGGTACTCACCAAAGACAGGAAGCTTGTAGAATCAAAGGGGTTCTCATCAATGAAATAGAAGACTGGGAGCATTATTGCTGTTGCAATAATGGTGAATCTGCATAGGGTAGCTTTCATGATGCTCAGTTAGGAGCTTGTAGAGCTCTT